GAGACTAGCAGCTACTGTACATTTTTAGCCAATCAATTGGTAATACTGTGTAAACACAGGGCAGCCCAATTAATAATCATTAGCCATGCTGATTACTTACTAGCTTTACACAGTTATTAAATGATGACTACTGAGTGAACATCATGCCACCAAATTAATATTCCACAGACAAGCTAATAACTCTCGTTTAGCAAATTATAGAGTGCTCACCACATCTCTAAATTAATATTTAATACCCATGCTGACAACCTACCAGCATTTCAGCAGATCAGTTAGGACTATTGGGTAAATGCCATGCCACCAAATTAATATTCAACAGACACTCTGATGACTTACCAGCTTTTCAGCAAATCAGCTGTGACTGAGTGAATGGCACAGTTTAAGAAATATTCAACAGTCTTAAATGATAACTTATATGTTTTTCTAGCAAATGAGGACTACTTTGTAAATACAACACCCTACAAATCAATTATATGACTTGTAGGTAAACACAGCACCATCTAATTCATATTCATGAGCCGCTATAAAATAGTTTATTATACGTTTCCTTCACTTTTTGCACACTGCCTTCTTGGGTGAGCAGATAACTTTAGGAACTGCATAACAACAAACACACAAACATTAAATACACTTTAATTTAAAAAGTGCCGTCAAGCTTCTTTTGAAATTTGTGATATTTATAGGTTAAAAAGGCTTCAAATGTTTCTTTTGGTGTACAACTTTGCCTTTGGTCTAGGTTTAAGACTTGCCAAAAACTGCACAAAAAACGTACTAAGATGTTAAAGTAAAATACAAGCATGAGGAGCACCTTTCATGGCACTTACCCTTGAAAAGAAAAAGAGTCGTATAACATTTCTCCGCCAAATTATTTTTAAACAAGATCTGACAGTTCCTCAGATCCTGTTTAGATGCAGCAAAGCATCAACTAGTTGAGTTGCATTTCTCAAATTACAGCAGTGTTCAGCTTCTGTTTGCCTATACTGTATGACTACAAAGACATTAAACAGAAGTATGCCCATTCAGATGACCAGCAAAAGAAAAAATCCAATATTTTTAAAGGGCTTTTTAGCATTTGCAGGACTACTCTGATATCGACTGTGGCTTTTTTTGGGGAGTCATTGATTTATGCAAAAGGGACATGTGGGATAATCCAAAGGCAAAGAGGAAAGGCCAGAATTACACAGAGCGTATGAATATTTGGTGACACTGTGGTATTACAGAGTGGCAGGACCAGATTGTGAATATTCATATATAATTCATCACTGTACCTGCAGACATAGGTTCCAATACTTTCCTTGAATACAAGATAACCCTTTTAAACAGAGCTCTAACAGCCGGAAGGAACGTGGAATAATCGGGCCTTCAGGGTTATATTGATAAAAGAGTAAGGGGTGTGGGGGGCTGGGGGGGATGAAGGAAACAAGACAGTGGAACTGTGAAGCTGAGAGAGTGTGAAGGAATGAGGGTAAAAAGAGAGAGAGAGAGAGAGAGAGAGAGAAAGAGAGGGAGAGAGAGAGAGAGAGAGAGAGAGAGAGAGAGAGAGAGAGAGAGAGAGAGAGATTAAAGCTAGGTGATGAAAATAGGATTGTGGGATAGACAGCCACATTGATTCGTACATCTGCTGATAAGATTGGCAAAGCGACTGAATAACTGTGAGATGACATGAACTAAACTCTCTGATCCCGCTAATAAAGACCTAATCTACTGTGTGTTTTTACAAGGACGACACGTCCACACTTGGGTCATTTGGTTGCGTTTCATTCTTTTGAATTACAGTACCAAAAATAGATTTCACTTAGTGCCTCTGAGTCATTCTTCCTCCAATTAAACACCCCCACTGTCACCGTGCTTATGAGACGCATCAAATCTGAAACTGACCAAACCCTGCCGAGCTTCACCCACAGATATCAATCCATCAGCCGAGCAAATCAACTCACTCCGCACTTGCTGCCAGAATAGAACGAGCATATGGATGCACAGGGGAGCTCCATCTATCACTCCTACATTATCCCACAATCCTATACCCCGTTTTGCCACAAGCGCACCAATATGGAGCCATCACTCAGCAGTATCATTGGCAGGCTGACTATCCCTAATTGTAAGACTCCGCAAAGATAAAGAACTTAATTATTCACATGATGGAGTTCACATTATTCCATCTCCTCCATTTTTACAGATGGTTTCTCCCGGCCACATGAAGTAGGCAGACAGACAATCAATAAGCAGTGTTTATTGAAGGCATGTGATGTCATCGGCACGTGAGCTCACGCGATCGCAGATATTGATTTCAATGGATCCCACTGAAGTGTTGACTCATTAAAGCATCGAGTTGAGCTATTTTTAACGTCTGGTTTGTTATTCACATGCGCTGAATCGAAACAATTGCATCACCACGTGCTTAATTATTGATTTGTGTGGTAAAATATCAAACATGACAAGGAAAATAGTCTGTTAACCTCCTTTTATTTATATATATATATGTACTGTATATAGTTTTTTTTTTCCTCCTCCAACATTTTTCAATGATAAAATAGTACACACAAGGGTATGGTGCATTAGTATTTGCATATGTTATATTTCTCATTATCAAAACAGATGGAAAGAGATGAACTTCAAAGAAATAAAGACATTCAAAAATGGAAAGATAACAAATGCTATTAAAGGCATCAGATCTCAAATGTCAGACAGATTAGTTCCAATTCCCCTCAGAACATTCTCTATTTCAATTTCAAACACAGTGACAGAAATATTTACCCTGTAAATTCCAGCAGTTTCAATTAATAATGTGGCAAGTACCTTTTGCATCAGCAATGAACAATGCTATATTAAGACTGTACATGACCCATTTCACAACAACTTTGATAAATACTGCATTGTTATATTAGCGGTGTGAAACAAAGGCAAGGCATCCACCAATTCTTGACTTAAAAAACCTCACAGAATAACAGAGATGGACATAGGTTTGACTGCACTGTCAGAGATAATAGCATTACTGTATATGGTTCTCCAGAGATTTTCAGCCATACCAGTGGCCCATATTATTTGAAACCATAAAGTCCAAAAAGCCTTCCCCCCAAAAAATGCCCTAATTCTGTGCTAATTAGAACTTAATGTTGTGCTCATGTAAACAGAGATGTGTTTATCTAATAACAAAAATCTGTAATATAACTGCCAAGATGAGACGGATTGTTCAAAGATTTATGTTTTGTGCTCTAGAATCTAAACAGCATTGGCTCTATTGTAATTCCAATCAGCTTTTGACGGAACTGTTATCACATTCATATGTCTGTATATTTCACACGATTAAAAGAAAAAGCTCATCACCACCTTTGAATGTTTTGATAAACAATGAAAAAATATCCAAGTTGCTGGCAACTGAAACTAAACCCCAGGCCAACTAGATCTTAACCCAAAAAAAAAGACAGTCAGAGCTGATAGCATTGAACGGTTCTCCAGAGATTTTCAGACACCTACACCAGTGGCCCATATTGATATGAAAGCCAAATTTTAGTCCAAAAACCAACAGAAAGCATCCCTCTTACAACAAATCTCCTAATTTTGAGCCTGTCACTGTTCAATTCTTAACATTGTACTCGTGTAAACTGAGATGCGTTTGTCAAATAACAACAATCTCAAATATGACTGCAGTGATGAGACAAATTGTTCATAGATCAAATCCCAGACCTTTTGTTTGCTAAAATCTACGTTGGAACAACATTAGCTCCATTTTAAATGGCAACGTCCATATAAAGGGACGATCATCACATGTATGGGTCTGTGTGACAACAGAAACAATATGTTTCTCAATCTCAAACATGACTGCAGTGATGAGACGAATTGTTTTGAGATCTAAGTTTTGTGCTTGAACATCTACATATAAAGAACAATTGCTTCATTGTAATTGCCAACATCCATTTAAAGAGACGACCAGCACATTTACAGTATGGGTCTGTACGAATCACACAATTAAAACAAGACACTCTAGTCGCTACCTTGGGATGTTATGATAAACGACGAGAAAATATCTACGCTTCAGGCTATTGGTCCTCATGAAGAATTGGTCTACTTAAGAGTCGAGACTGTTCAAACCATTTGAGACGCACCCCGGCGGACCTCTTTTGGCGCAACAGTCGTGCGTCTCGTAGATTTCAGGCTGAGTGCTTTCAATTACTCCAATGCCGTTGAATAAAACCTCATTATCTGTTACGAATTATATCAATCGTGTTCAACAAGGGAAATTAGAGAAATACAGCCATTTGGTGTCACTACAGCAGCCATGAGGCCTCCACAGCTAAGGGGAATGTAACAGGACAGTGAAATAAATCCACATTAGGAAAGAAATTGGAACACAAGCACAAGATGAGCCTTGGGAAAAGGATGTTCCCCTAAAGCCTGCGTTCTTACTCAATGCGCCCCGGAGTCTATAAGTGCTCTTGAATATAGAGCCATCGATCCTTGTTGGCCTCAATGAAGCTCTCTTCAGCCCAAACCCCCTGGTTAACCATTCTCCACCTTTACATGATACACAAACTCAAGTGGAAGACTCGGGAGACTAGATCAATTCCATTCCTGCCCTTATTTTCCCAGCAACAAAGCAGGCAAGGCCATTGGTCAAAACATTGGGTATGTGTGACAATTTTTCTTAAAAGTAATTGCTTGGTAATTCAAGTAAGATACTCTGTGCTATAAGACTAAGTAGTAAGGGATTGTGCATATGATTTTTTTTTTTCAGTTCTAATGTTTTCAGTTAATGTAAACGATCATGACGAAAGCGATGTAACATCTGTGTGCGATATTTAGTGTGGCTAGGAATGCATCTAATTAAGACTCATTCTCTCATTCATTTATTTATTGCTTGCTATCTATTTGTTTTCAATGTCAATCGTTTAGTTTCCACTACATTCATTAATACTAATGATAGATTTCTGTTAACAAAACAACACTAGAACAAATTCTCGTCACATATTAATATAACAAATGTGATTGAAGATCACAAAAGCACATGACACTAATGCCAAAGAATTCACGCTTGACATTTGCAGATTTGTGATGTGTTGTTCTTTGAGATCCTGTAAAAATATCTGTAATTTGTAATCTGTGCTTGTACTAGTGCTACAGCTTCTACTGTCAGCCTCCATGTGTGCGTGTATGTGTGTTTAGCCGTGCAGGGATTGGCAGTGGTGATGTGTTATGTTCCCTGCTGTTGGCTTTCGTGATATCTACTCGGTGATCTCCAGAATAAGATCATCTCCTTCAAGTGTGCTGTCGGCGGTCACGTAGATCTTGGCCACGGTGCCGGAGATGGGAGAGTTGACCACCGTTTCCATCTTCATGGCGCTGAGCACGCAGAGCGGCTGTCCTTTCTCCACTTGCTGCCCTTGCTTCACTTTCACCTCCACCACCTTACCGGGCATAGGAGCTCCGATCTGACCACGAACGTCCTTCAGGGCTTTAGGGTGGAAATGCATCTCCTGCAAATCCAAGAAAATTGATTTAGGTCAGCAGGGGTGTCCGGTTCATTTACAATTTGCATTCGACCTTCAGAAACTCTTTAAAAAGAAATGCATACATGTTGATCATTAGAGGATCATTGAAAACAGTATATCAGAATATAATAAAACCAGACAGACAGACAGACAGACAGACAGACAGACAGACAGACAGACAGACAGACAGACAGACAGATAGATAGATAGATAGATAGATAGATAGATAGATAGATAGATAGATAGATAGATAGATAGATAGATAGATAGATAGATAGATAGATAGATAGATAGATAGATAGATAGATAGATAGATAAACAAAAAACGAATAGACAGACAGATAGATAGACAGATTGAAAGACAGAAAAATTAGTAGACATATAGATAGAAAAAGTTAATAAACACAGATAGATAGACAAAGAAAAATGAAGAGACAGTCAGACAGACATGGATGGATGGATGGATGGATAGAAAAAATAATAAACAGACAGAAAAAACTAATACAGATAGAAAAACTGAAAGACAGATAGATAGAAAAGTTAACAGACAGACAGATAGATAGTTTAATAGACAGACAGACATAGATAGACAGAAAAAAATTATTAGACAGACAAAAAAATTGACAGAAAGATTGATAGACACATTGACATACAGAAAAATGAGTACACAGATAGGCAGAAAAGTTAATAGACAGACAGACAGACAGAAAAATGAATAACCTAACAGATAGGTAGCTAGCCACAAACTGATTTTAGTATAACAGTTTGTATAGTGCTAAGAAAGAATATCTTGTCACAGATAATTAGAACAAGAATGACATTTAAAGACCCTTAAAAGAATCGAAGCAATAGTTGCTGTTATAATAGTATAACTGCTACTTGTAAATTTTTACTATCTTTGCTGTTTTTAATTATTTAAATTATATATAAATAAATAATATTTAGCCTTTTTTCTAAAAGTGTAAGTTAGAATTAAATATGTGGCCTCTTTTTTACATAAACTTATCTTTAGCACTGAATGAAGATTAACATTATTAAAACATTATTTATCTGTTACTCTGAATGACAGACATCATTTTACCTATATTGTGACATTTTATTTTCAGATAATTAATTAGTTGACTGTATTTGCATTCATCACATGACCAGTATGAATGTATTATGCAATTTCTCAGGTGTGGTTTCTATTTAGAGGACTTGATTAAATTTTAATTAACAGAAACCGCAACAAGAAATCTAATTAAAATAAGTGTGAAATGATTAACTAAAATGCATGCATACTAAAATAGAAAATATACCTTTTGTACATGATACTTCATAAAACATTTAAATAAAAATAACACCTTACAGCCATAAACCCAGACTGTGCTTAGAAATGTTACTCAATGGTTTAAACAGAAACCACTCAGTAGATTAACTTGGGCCTTCCTAATGAACTGTTTACCCCAGCACTGTACACATAACTATAATGTTTAAACACTCATTATAATTCTGAGAATAGCAGGCTTACACAGCTTCACAGCAAAAGCAGCTACATGGAGGAACAATCACGTTAGAAGTATTTTCTGAATGATTCTTCTATCTGGCCCTTGATTAAAACATAATGTAACTCCAACTGACTTTTAAGGCATTTGAGCATGTGATATACAACATAACCACCGTGCCCACTTAAAACAAGCTATGTTATTATAAACATCCTGTAGACACATATATTAAAAAGCTAAACCAATTAAAACTACAAAACACATTAGAAAGCTAAACTACACTGCGTGCGGTTCAGTAGTTTGGGACCAGTATGTTTTTTGCTCAAAAACAAAAAGTTTGCACAGCACACTCGTAGTTTTTACATTTTTGGTGCGTTATTCTAGTTAATAATATTATTCAGAAGGTCATGATTCATAAACCAAAGATATGACTTCAACAGTAGTAAGACATTTTATAGATTTCGGACATGACGTTAAACAACTAGAATGTATAGGAATTGAAGTATTTGAGTCACATAGAGAAGCTTTCTGGATTCATAATTTTAAAATCACTTACATCAAGGATTAAATAAGGAATTAGATCTATTGGTGTTTCTTTAATGTTTTAGTGTTTATCTCTAATATTGTGAATCATAGATTTTGAGCATATAATGATACAAATAATGAGAAGACATTGTGCCGAAACGTCTGTGTTTTGTATCTTCTAAGAATGTAAAATAAAGCTATATAAAGTAATTCTTTAATGAGAAATACTAAAACATACTATAAAAGCAATAATATAGTGACATCAATTTAATGCAACTCTTATCTCTGTAAATGCTTTTAAAAAAATTATTCTTCAGTTTTTTGACTCCTATTTATGGCATAATTTCACTGACAAATGTTGTGAGCGTAGTATTACAAGTAGAAAGCGCATTCATGTTATACGAGCGAGTGAATCTCTGCTTGCGCGCCAATTTCCTATGTTTGTGGACAAAACTGCTCTCAAATTTATGCTGCTCGGCGCAAATCTTCTCAAAAACTCTGTCAGATGATGTGGACTCACAATTTGTGCTTTGTGTTTCCTCTTCCTTTCCTGATTTTGCTCTCCAGAGATCCTCCTGTTAAATTGGCTATCCCAAGAATGTTGATATGGTTTATATATTGCTACACTCTTTATTAACAATACATGAAAAACTAAAAGGTTAAGGTAAATTTTATAATAAAAACTAGTGTTTTTGATGCATTCGGTATACTGCCTATGTTTTAGGCTAGTATTATTTACAACTCCTTGTTAATGAATGCTTCGCCATACTGTAGTATTAAAAAGCATAATGTAGGTTAGACACCCCAGTGATCAATGTGCATGAGAGTCAAGTAGGAACTAGATTTCCTTTAAAATACACATTAAAGTCGTTTTTAGTCACAGAAATGTTCTTCCGCATCTAAAAAAAAAAATCACAAACATTTTCTTTAAAATGTGTGCCCTTGTGCTTGGTAAAACATTTTAATATGGTATTTTAATGTTATTATATAGTATTTTCACAAACGATTCTACCTTTTTTGAAGTAGTTTAACCTACAATATGCTCTTTAAAAATAGTAAACTGATACAATAAAATGCAAAGTGTAGTTTTACTACAGTAAAGTGTGGTGAATTGTAGTATAATACACCTTATATTTTAAAGAACTGCAGCATTGTGTTATTTTTTTATATTACATTTGCTGAGTAAATAAAGCAAATATAGTATTACCACAACAGATTAATTGAAGTACTTTACTGTAGTACTGTTCAAAACACTGTATATGCCAATAGACGTGTTCAGGGGCCCGGTAGAACAGCTTTTCCTCAAAATGAAGAGGATAACAAAGAAAATGTCCTCCAAATATTAACAACAATGTGAAAGACAGCAGAGACTAGTTCACTTTTTTGTAGTTGCCATGATAAAATGAGATAGTGATAGTGACATTTATTTGAAGAGTGAACAGTACAGTAGGCTATAATACCTTATCAAGTTTTTCCCTACTTTCAATCACAGTTACATTTCTGTTTGCATTAGTTAGTTTTTTGTATAAATGTTTTTTTTTATAAGTATGGTGCACCTTTTGGATGTTTAATAAATGTTTTTGAAATAAAATGTGTTCTTTACATCCAACGTTGAAATATCTCATCATATAACATACAGTCAAAAAATGTAATGGTTTATTACATTAAAATGTAATGTCTATTTTTAGTATTTTTTATTTATTGATAGTAAATGGTGTACTAGGGAACACAAGAGGGAAAATAAGACACAAATTGTGAGTCTGAATATCTGTGAGCAGTGTATTGAAAGCGCACAAGTAGTTTTCTTCCCGAATAGAAGAAATCGGCGCACGAGCAAAGAGATTCACTGGTTCGTATTACATGTATGAGCTCTTCACTTGTAATATTGCGTCCACAACATTTGTCAGTGAAAAACACCATACTGGTCAGGAGACATTTCACTAACTGTCACTAAAAAAAGGGGAAAACTTCCCTAAAAGCTGTAAGTGAAATTCAGAAACCCACCTTCATGGCCACGGTGTCTTTGACCAGAACAGATCTCAGCTGACCGTTGAGCTCAAAGAACACCTCTCTCTGCCCCGCTTTATTAAGATCTCCCAGAGCCAGAGCCTTGATGTGAAGTGTCTTTCCTCGCTCCAGCTCCACCTGAGACAGACAGCACAGATATGAGCAGAGGAAATACACAACTGATGCCTGGAATGTAGGAATGACATGTACAATCATGGCTGACAGGAAGATTTATGACAGGGCAACTGAGAATAAAAATTTGATGCCACTTCCGTTAAATAATTGAAAGACTGAAATACTCCCACCTCAAACTCTTCAGCAATTTTTGGTCCGTCTAGGAAGAGTCTGGTATCCAAACAATCCACAGGCCCAAAGGTTCTGGTGAAATCCTTGAACTCCTGGAATACTTTGGGATACATGGCTGCTGACATCACATCCTCTGGAGTGATTTCGTCACCGTGAGCATCTTTCAGTTGCTTCTCCAAGGCCTGGAAATCCATGGCAGGCAGAGAGGCTCCAGGACGTCCTTCGACACGGGGAAGTGACTTCAAAACCTAAACAATAAAAACAAAAGAGAAACTTAAAGAACAATTAATAAACACATTTTCTCAGAAATAACAGTCTTCATGGTTAGAAAATGGAGGGAATTTTAGTTGCACTATATAGTTTTGCAAAATAACTTTAATAAAAAGCCTTTACCTTGTGGAAACATGAGAGAACCGCAATGATTGTAGCATGAAGAATGATTGAAACTAATATTTCTAAAGGGGCCACTGCTTTGAATGAATTGAGCACATTCGTGGACATCACACTGCTCTGCAGTGATCTTCTTCCACTCTTTTTCTGTCTCTTCCACAGTTCACTGACTATGATGGGTTCTTAGGCAAAAACTTGCCATCAAGGATTCTCAATCAGGTTTAGATGAGGGCTGTGGGCTGCCATTTAATGATCTCAGTGTTTTTAACTTTGGACCAGTTCTCAGTTCACACAACAAGTTCCTCAGTAATTGTTAGTCCAGACTTGTGATTGTTTCTGCTGATGAAGGTTTGATCTCTGCAGAGTTTCAATACAAATACTCTTGAACTTTGACACATTGTATGTTGAGATACAGATTCTTCCATGTTTAGAAGTAAACTGACAAATATTTTCTATTGCAGTGTTGAACCTATGGAGATTACATTATGTACAGGGACTTTACATTTAAAATAAGCCTACCAAGACAGTCATGCCTTTTTTAACCATGGCATGTTTAAGATCTAGTTTGTTTAAAATTAGTGATCTTTACTGCCTGACCGAAACACACTCACAGTTTTTAATGGGTTTTCTGCACTCACCTGTTGCTCTTTATGGCACTGGAGTTTAAATAGACGTTCATCTCATTTTATGCTTGAACAACTAAATGAAAGCTTTAGGGCCCTATCATACACCTGGTGCAATAGGGCACAAGACGTGTTTTGTGCAATTTGTTGCTATTTTGAGATCAGCATAACCATCATTTTAATTTTTTTCTGCAATGTTGTTTAAATAGTAAATCCATTTGCTCCACTTTGTGGACTCATGGGTGTACTGGTCTAGAAAGTAGGTGTGTTAAGGTGCATTGCTTTTTTGAGAAACTGAAATAGACTATGCTGTTAACCAACTGAAAGCAGGCCTAATGTCCAGCACAGAGCGTGTTAGTTGTGCGCCTATGTAGGTTCAAAACTTGCACACATTGCTTAATACACACAGGATGTACAGCAATGCACAAATATCTTTACATATGAAAAAAAAAACAATTAAAGGATTAAAATGTTAAAAAAATATTATTATTGTTAATTTTTATTTAAAATATTATTATTATTATTATTATTATTATTATTATTATTATTATTATCATCATCATCATCATCATTATTATTATAGGTAAATATAAAAACCACTGTCTCCATCTCATTTACTCATTACAGTTTGCTTTTGTATATTGTTATTATTGTTAGCAGTATAATCTATTATATGCTAAATTTGTTCAAATAGTTTAGCATAAGAACAGGACGTGTTTTTTTTTGTGTGTGTGTTTTTTTTTTTTAACCACACTTTGTTATTATTGTTCATTTATTCGTTTGCTGAAGATTGAAACTGAATTTAGAAATAGCTTTGTAACAAATCTTTGCACTTAACAAACAAAATTAAATATGTAGCTAATGGATGTCTTCAGTATAGTGCGTACAGAGTTTTTCCGAATGGAGGAGGATCGTTCTTTATCCTTGTGCTGCAGATGTTTTTTTTTACGTTTTCTTACTAGAAGTGTTCAATTTTACCATTTAAAGTCCGCCATGTAAATACCAAATGTGCCATGACACAGCTAACTCTTAGATGAAATGGGAGATGAGACTCTGATTTGTTTAATGCAAGTTATGCTCAAAACACACCCATAACTCATTAAGAGAATAAGCACAACCCTCTTAGGCCATGAGCCATAGCACAAACTGTATTTTTCAGTCCTTAAAAGAGGTGGATTCGGACACCCCATAATGCGTTTGCACCATGTGCTTTAGACTTTGAGACTAGATCATTAAAATAGAGCCCTTTATCTATTTAACTGTCTATATTTTGATTAAATTACTTCATCAATACTGAACACCGAACCTTATATAATTGAATATAGTCATGTCAACCTTTTACTAGAAGTTTATCAGTAACTGAAAAACACTTGTACACTGTGCATTTGGCCTATTGACCGTTGAGATGCTCCACATTATCTCGTCCTCTCTTGCATTTGCCTTTTACAGATGATCAGCTTTTTGGCGGACTTAAATCAATCACACAGATCACAGATTTGAAAGGACTGTCTTCTCCTGCTGTGGTTTAAATGCTTGTCCCTCTGGCCTTCATCTGGGCAACCTGCTGCCAGAGAGTTTTAGTCACTTTTGAGTGATTCGTAATCTTGCATTGAAAGTCATTGAAAACTGAAAAGTTAGGCTGCCCATTCTAGCTTGTTACATAATTAAGGAATTTATCACCAGGTGCCAGATTTACACCAATAACCTTGAGGCATCTGAAAGCGTTCTCTGATTTCTCATTTAAGATTTTTATCCTGTGCTTCATGAAATATGCTTTAAAAACTGCTCTTTTACTCCTGTTAGGATAACTTGAAACAGGCCTAAGTAGTGACCTTGAAATATACTGTAGGAAATTGCAAGTTGTTCTTTAATTTTGATCTCCACTATATAGATTTTGCTCAAATATTAGTGGCTTGCTGTATTTTCAAGCTGCTCATAAGTGGATGATGTAGAGCGTTCGCAATCCCCTTGAGCTTCACGCTGAATCCGAGAATATTTATAACCGATCATTAGCAGGAGCAGGATTAATCTCTCCCTATTGCTTCATTTGGATGAATTTAAGAGGCTAAAGGAGTCGAGGAGCGAGGAATTAAACTTGATATGATGAAATGTAAGTGTTTTTATTCAGCAAAACAAAGAATGACTTCAGAACATACGCAGCAGACCTAAATAAGACACTTTTTATGCAAGCAAACAAATGCTTGCATAATGATGAACAATATTAATGTTACAAAACAGACAGGGGGAAAAAATGAAGGTCGGAACCACGTTGCACAAATATGTTTGTTATCTAAAATATATGCAAAGCAGATGGCCTACTAATTCTGAAGAAGACATTGTAAATAAATTAGCTGCATACTAGCAGGCACAGAACAGCTTCAGCGTGTGCATTGTTCATTTCTGATGTGAGGCACATTTGTCAGGGAAACGGCTAATCTTGCACAGGAATGGCTGCTGGGTAATTGGGGCGTTCAAGACAAAAGAATGACATGGTTTTCCCTCACGTATCTCTGACAAGCACAACACAGCATTAATGCACTCTGGAGACTGCAGGGAAACCCTCTTAAGACAAACTTGACTGCGATCAAGCCAATCTCTTCATTCGGTGAGAGAGCTGAAGCTCATTTTGTTCACCATAGAAACATTCAATAAATTGTATTTATGCAATTCTGTATATAAAACAGGCAGTTCTTCTCTTTCTGACATCAACCAAAGCTTAGCAGAGACTTAAACTTTAGTTAACCTTTAGTGATTTACAACAATCAATTCTAACTCCTCTCCATGACCGTTTCAACTTACCTTCATCTCAACTCCATGGCCCAATATATTGATTTTTAACCCTCGGGCTGTTTTTTTTTTTTTTTTTTTTAACTTGCTATCTTGAAGTGCTTCCTATGATCTGCCCTATGAGGTCTGTATACATCCAGGCCATATAAAAATATATATTTCATAATACACCTTTCATTTAATCTCTTTGCAGTGTTTGAATGGTCAAAATAAGCCTCCGATGTTCCTAGAGAGAGTATGAGAAGTTTCAGCTCAAACTTAAAAATAACTTTAACTCTTTGAAACTTTCTCTTATAGTATTTGATTCAACTTGTGCGGTGTTGGTGACTGTTGCTATAAATTTAAATGAGATTATGCTCTTTTTAAAAGAGGGTGAAGCTACAAGTCACCTCTGTATCAGCATAGCAGCAGATTCAATACAGGACTAACGTCATCTCTGTTAAAATGTCAAAAGTGCCTTAGAAACATTCAGTCTATGGAGACTACAGTGTTCATTTGTGCCTTCTGCAGTTTGCTGACAGTATTTCCATTTTAAAAAGTCTGATTCATTTACTGTATTTTTTATTATTTCTTTTTTTCTGTCTTGGAGGGGGGGGGGGGGGGGGGTGGAGTCTGTTCTCCTTTACAGACAGAAAAGTGGGGAGAGCTGATCGGGGAAGGATCGGCAAAAAACCTAGAGTTGAGAATAGAACTCAGGTCAACGTGAGCACCTTGGTGCTATATGTCGACGCACTAAACACTTACTTGAATAAGTTCAGTTGTTTTTTTGTTTTTTTTTGTAGCTCTGTATTAAAACAAAGAAACAAACATTGCGTTAAATTCGAAATGATGATCACTGTCAAAGGCATTCGCCCCAACTACACCCCCATCATTCTCCTTCTCTTCTCAGATGGGATGATGGGCCAAATCAAAGGGCCAACTTTGACCATCAGGCGCTACTTTGGGAATTTTTGCTCTAAACTCTTTTTATGCAAGAGTTGACTCTGCTCTGATTGGTCAGATGACCCAGTCGGTTCTGATTGATGTTGACAATGAAACAAACTATTACCATATGTGAATTCTGCTTTATACATGTCTTGAACATGTATAAAAGTGACCACAAAACAAATCAACAAAAATGACATGGGCTGGCATTATGCAAATGTGAAAACTGCACAATATGTAACATGACCAGTGATGGGAATAACAATGTTATAAATAAACGGCATAACTAATGGAATTACTTATTGCTTTATAGTAACGAGTTTCACTCGTTAAAAACATTTTTTTTTTTCCATCAGACTGTTTCTGTCGGCCTGTTCTGGTATATGCATATAACTGATGATAATTGGCTAAAATGCAAGTGACGCTTACAAATACATAGATGGAGCCTCTGTAAAATGCAATTAAAACTAGTTTACAAAGTTCTCATCTGCAGAAATATTCAATATTACCATTGATTATTTCTGCATGCGAGAACAATACTAAAATACAAAACAAGACCATCATGTCAGTATATTTACTTTACAAGCACATTTCCATATCATCAGCTTGCCGTGAATGAAGGCCATATTAGCCATAGTGCATCAATGAGAGTGAGCGAGGAATCTGTAGTGATCACGATGGATTCAAAAGCAATTTACTACATTTTTCCCAAGATTAAAACATAATAGGACATTAGAAGGTTTGTTAAAAGAAAGAGCATGTTATGTAATTTCCGGATTCAGTGTTCAAACCATGGAAAGATGTCAATGTTCATCATTGCATTGTAACAGTATTTGCATCTTGGACACTTTTAATGCTCAATGCATTTATGAAGCATCCGTGTCTTGAGGTAAGTCTGTTTGATGCAAATTTTCCATGCACGATTTGATTGAACAGGAATCACAGAACTGATTATTCTACTTAGCCAATCACCATAGTCTATAAAAAATAAAAATAAACATACAAAAGTAGTAACTGAAGGAAAATAGTGCCGTAAACGTAACGATACAGAAATAACAATGTAATTAAGCAAAAATACTAATATGTTAAACTATCTGGTAAAGTAACTCTACTCAATGAGAGGGTTTCATTATTTTACACCAGTGGTTCCCAAAGTGGTGGTCGCGGGACAATAATGAGGGGTTTCTTGGTGATTTCCAAAACTCAAATAAACTATAATAAACCATTAAAATAACCATATTTTATTCATAACATACAGAAGATAGTTAATAGCTATGGTAAAGAAACATCAAAAACAACATACACATTTAAATCTATCAACCTTTTAATTTTTTTTTTAATATTAATACTAAATTAAATTAATTAATGACTATTAAAAAATTATTTTCTTACTCTTTATATGGTCTATGATGTAATAGTTATTTATTTGTACTTACCTAACTTCTACTCTGTATTTGGCTTTACATTCTTTTTTAAAAAAATTTTATTATTTTTTATTTTGTATTATAACACAGCAAGCTTTTAACTTCTGTAGAACAAGTCTAACTAGGTGGGGGGGTGGGGATTCGGGGTTGTTTTGAGATATGGTCATATACTGTATGCTCTCTATATTAAACAAAAACTGAAATAATAAAAACAATGGTTCACAAAAAAATTAAATAAATAATGTTATTAGACTGTCGCATTTTTTTTTGTTGTCAACACGCTCATGTTTATATATGCCTATAGTTGTGTGTGCAACATTTGTATACGTATTGACCAACTTCAAGAAAAATGGTGGTCGTGGGTCACTGATATTGTTATTTTGAGGTCACGGGCTGAAAAGTTTGGGAACCAATGCTTTACACCACTGTTTATAACCAACACATTATCTTATTTGCAAGACATATCCACATAATTTCCATATCAGACTATGCTGATATTACATATTAAGTTGATATCAGCCAATTTATGGAATGTACAACGGTTAATATTGTGCATCCCTATACAGTACAGCGAGAGTGTGAACTGCACTTGCTCATACCTTTGTCCTGAAGGGCTCTGGAAAGCCTCCATGAGGGATGCCGATGTGTCCTTGCAGAAATTCCACCACAGACAAAGGGAATGACAGCTCATCCGCCCTCTCCTCCACCTCCGCCCGAGTCAGAGAGTTCTGCACCATGAACTGCGCCAGATCACCCACAATCTTAGAGGAGGGCGTCACCTGAAACCAGAAGCACAGATAAGAGAGAAAGGAAAGACGCGCTTGCTTAGGCCTCCATCAATACACACAGCTGGTTTTTCCGCCCGTAGGATGCCCTGGCCAATCTGAGCCAAGACTAGAAGAGCAGACTGAACACAAAAACATGGCTTAAGACAGCAGATAACATTCGCATCGTATGGACAAAAGAGAGAAGAATGGGAGAAAGTGAGAAGCGAGAGGCGCTAATGAAACCCATCGCTAATGCGTCGCTTGTTGAGCAGAGTAGCGCTCGGCCTCCGATATTGACAATATTAACAGCGAGGGGACTCCGAGAACAGAAAGCCGACTATCTTCGATCATTTAATTAAGCCCAGGGAAATGAAAGGCAGCAAGGCGAGACCAAATGCTCACAGACGCCTCGGATTGGCGGAGATCAGTCAGAGCCTCTCTGAAACACAACAGATAAGCTTTTTTTGCTTCAAGCTCTTCCCAGTTGATCTGTCTCTGGGCCATAGGAGACAGGGACGGGATTATTTATTCACTCTCTTTCTTCCTCCCTTTTTTTTGGCAAGTTATTTTTATTCAATTTCATCTGGAGATTGAGACTGTTGCGACGGAATAAGCGGGATGAGGGGGGAGGAGGAAAAAGAGAGAGCAATTGAATGTGGGATTCAGAGAGGAGTTCTCGGGTCCACAGTGCTTATGATCTGGTGAGCGTGAGCAGATTTCGAGAGCGAGGGTGAGACCCTTCTGAGCGCAGGGGGTGATAATTAAGCTCTATTTAACCAGGGAGAATGTTAAATATGAGCATTTTAAACTGCACCATTCATGATTGGTACGTGTCATAATTGCAGCGTATGAACAACCTTAAACGTTCCATTCACTGATGGGAAAAGAGAGAGGAAAAAAAATACAAATCAGTATTTCTGCAGGAATGGGAGGCATATCGTTTATTTGCTAATCTCAATTTTATTACTGGCTTCCAACCTTGATTGCAACAGAGGGGTGAAATCTGAACTCTAAAAATGATCTGGATTGTGTATTTTGGGGAGTTGGAGAATATAAAACTGTATTTTGAGTAAACAAAGCTAGATTGTATATTTGTTAAGCATTTATTTATTATTACCATCCAATATTCAGTTGAATATATGTGGATGCACATCACATTAATAATGATCAAACTGATGAAAAGCAGTTGCTTTCTATATATTATTATTCCACAAGTCTTAGCAGTTTTTTAAAGGTGCAGTAGGTGATTGTCTTCAAAAACATTTTTGTTGTGCTGGTTGAAAGTCTCTTCACAGTCCAATAGTAATGATTACAGTAAATGATCTAAATGCGTTTATATGTATTTTTATATTCTGGGTAAGGCATAAAACTAAAAAATGTTCATCCAATTAAATAGAGTCGGACTGAAATCTCCCATAATTCTAATTAGCAGCTCAGACTGTCTGTCAGCAAATGTAGATTCGGACTTCTGCGCATCTGTTCACGCAGATCCACCATTTGCGCGTCCCTGTCCGCATAAGCAGCCGCGCGGTCACAAGACAGACCGGGAGAAATCAAACGCTGAATTGAAACTTTTAAAAACCTGAATCAATATTGGAGTTACTTTAGCACGCTGGAGGAAGGACGACACCATGGCTGAAGTATTACTGTTAGACGAGTAATGTTCTGTTTTAGTCAGGCTAAGCTTATGTTAGATTGTGTTGTGTTATGAATGACTTATATGCACAGAAGTGTTGTTCAGCCACTAAAATCTCCCGGTGAAAGATTGATGTGATTATTTTCAGTTCATAAGGTCCTTTTACAGCATTGATAACGTAGATTTATATTTAGTTTAACAAAAAAACATCAGTAAATAGTGCTAAGATAATATGTCCAAAGATACTGTAATATGCTAAGAGGTTAGCATTTAGCATTTTGGCAGATCACCTACTGCACCTTTAATGAGTAACTATTTAATTTTAATATTAATATTACACCTTTTTATATCGATTATAATAAATGCCCTTAAAAGTAGTGAACACTGGAATTCTGTGTGCAAAACGTAGAAAGCATTTCGGTGTAATTTCAATACAACATTAAATAGTGTATGAAATAAAAAATATATATATTTGTTCCATGCAAAGTGATAATTAAAGGTGCTGTATGTAAGACTTTTTTAAAGCATAAATACCATAATATGTTTGCAGATATTTATGAAACATTCAAAGGCAACATTCATGTTTGTTTGAAAAACAATGCTGAATTCAGATATTCTGCTTTGAAAATGTGCATTACATGCCAGAACGAGTGTCTTTGTTTTGGTCATTTAACCTGCCAAATGATGGTTTAGCCAATTATATTTCAGCTCCCTAGGTTGTCATGATATAAAACAGTGTATTCAATTCATTCAGTCAAGAAGGCTCTCAAAGTGCGTGTTCGTGACTGAAATGCAACCTCCAAAATGAGAAGCAGATTCAGATATCCCCATGAGGTGATTATTAATTAGCAAAATTTACAATATATTATTTTAATATATTACAAATGTAAGCATTAGGTGAGCAGTCCTAACAACACGCTACATGACGAGATATGCAGTGATAAGCAATTTGGCTGTTTGCACCAGACAAACCATGATAGAAGTTTAAATACAGCCATTCAAAAGCAAAGAATAGTGCACTCACTGCCCTCCAGTAAAATGATAAGGTTTATAATCTATATAAAACATATTAAACCTCTTTAAAGATATTAAATGTAGATGCTGAATCATTTTTATCTGTTGGTTCGTACTGAGTCACTGTTCTGAAGTTCCATTTCAAATGGTTTATTTTATTTCCAAGATCTGAGGTGAACTATCTGCTGCTGCTTTCAGTATATGGCAATAAATGTCAGGTAAAATAGCATTCAAACTCACATTGTTAGCATTTAACACTGAAAGCACATGAGGTGATCCTGAGGTGATCACTGTCAGTTTTCTGCTGTTCACCTGTGAGAAACAGAAGCTGTTTCTAAACTCCTTTTGATATAGAAAATATTCCTTCTATCATGTGTTCTTGCTTTCATTTAGAACACGATTTAAATCAGCCTTAAATAAAGGCTCAATCTGGCAACCTGCATTTTGCGTGTTTTGAACCAGGCGTGTCAAACTTACATACAGCACCTTTAAAAGAACTACATATAATACCAACTATTAATATCATTGAAGTCTCCATTGTGACGCGAGGAAGATTTTAAAAAGACCTCATAAACTGAAATGTGTACCAAATATTTATATATACAGTAGCTACTGTATATAAAAAAAAAACAACAACTACCTTTGCATTTTTTAACAATAGGTTTGAATAAAATATTAATGTTTTATAAAGGTCTGATAACATTTCCCTTTTTTTTTGTTATTTCATGCTAAATTAAATAGCAACATTATAAATTTAGATCAAAGGACATCAATAGTTTCTAGAACAAAACAAAAATAGTTTTTTTCAAAGCCATAACTACTGTATAAATCGTGAATCCAGAGAAAGGTCTCTTATTTCATACCATTTTTGTTTCCATAATGTATCTGTATTCCTTTTATGAAACAGATTGAATTCATAGACATGTCAAGTATCTTTATACACACTCCTCAGAAATAAAGACACTAAAGGCTTGAGTGGATTTTATGCTGATAATTATACCTTATGATACACTTCCCAGATGACTGACAAATTTTTAAAAGCTATGAAGCTGTCTCTGCAGAGATGCCTTTTATTATTTGAAGAGTTGGAGTGTTTTGAAGCGATTACGTGCCAGGACCCAGCGTTTCAACCGAACTAGCTTACAAAGGAATGGGAAAAAAAATGAAAGGAGAATTAAAATCTGTTCCAGTGAATCAGAGAAAAACAACTGCAAAATCCTCTGGCACGAGCATCTATCTTTTATGTGTATGAAGGTGTTGAGTGTGGCAGCACAATATTTTTAAACCAATATGTCCAACAAAGTCTCTGAATTGATGATGTGCACTTGATGTAAAAAGCACAAGTGCAGTTTGAACTAAATTTTGTTTAATGGAGACGTTGGTGCTGCATTTTTGCTTGCTGCATTTGACCAAAATAGCTTAAATATAACACACTTGAGCATCAGATATGTAGCAATAAACTGTTAACTGGACACGCGTGACAATATCAGGAATGACTCAGAAAGCATGAGCATTTGACAACATCACGACTCAAGTGTGTGAAACATACCATCTGAGGAAAAGACGTCAACCTAATTAGCTAAAAGGTGTGGTGTCTTTGGCTCCATATAAAGAATAGACTCGTGAAATTCAAATGTCTGTGAAATGAAAATCTGGATCACTGCAAGCAATAAGAGGTTAAAAGGGTTCGTCATGCAAACCACAACTGCATTAATAGTTTCTATTTGAGTCGAAAATCTTTTAAGCGCTATGACATTTGATGAAAAAAAGAGCAGAGAGCTCATCTGACAACTGAATATTGTTGAATAATTACGATGCATACTTTTTAGCAGCCTTGGAAGCATTTTTTCATTATTTTTCCCCAAATATTTCTCATTTACAATAAATCATACACAAAACCAGTTCAGAGAGGAATTATAACCAGCTACAAGAATAATTACAGCACTGCAAATTATGATCATATTCATAGTGCATTACAAAATATTCTGATGATATATACAAATATTTCTGCAATGCTTCATATGCTTTGTGGGAGTCTGTAATCAAAGCTTTCCCTTTGAAACATCTTAATTGTTAATACACATTGTGTAAGTGCAGTTTGTCACTCTTAAATCAGCTCTTAAAAAGTGCAGTCACATTTTGAGTTCCAAAAAGGTTCACATGAAACTCACACACAAGTCTGTTTCAAACCAAACAACTTCAAAAGCTCATTGCCGCAGAGCAGTACAGTTTGATACCATACAGTAGGCTTTTTTTTTCTATTTCCACTGTATGAAGTTCCAAAATACTGAGTTCAGATTGACTTATTGCAGAATGCTGATTGGTTTACAGAGATGTATGACTTCTAAGTGACTATGTGCAAGAATGGAAATAACAAAGTTCCATTTACTGTATAAATACACACAGTATGCAAAAATGTTGTTATAATGTAATAACCATGCCACCTGACAAAAGTCTTGTCACTTATCCAAATTTTAGGAACCACAACAAACAACATGACTTCTAGTTGATCATTTGGTATCAGAAGTGACTTAAATGAAAGGCAAAGAGCTCTAGCTTATGCTTATTTTACTAAAATAAACATGATTATGTCTTGATGTTAAATTATTAAATCTGACTTAGCTTAGAAAAAAGTCTTGTCACTTAACAGAAATAATGTACAGTATAGAATATAGAGTGATGGTGCAGTGGAAAAATAAATAGTATTGTGTATGACTCCCATGAGCTTGGAGGTCTGCATCCATACATCTCTGCAATGATTCTAATAACTTATTAATAAAGTCATCTGGGATGGCAAAGAAAGCGTTCTTGTAGGACTTCCAGAGTTCATCAAGATTCTTTAGATTCATCTTCAATGCCTCCTCCTCCATCTTATCCCAGACATACTCAATAATGTACATGTCTGGTGACTGGGCTGGCCAATCCTGGAGCACCTTGACCTTATTTGCTTTCAGGATCTTTGATGTGGAGGCTGAAGTATGAGAAGGAGCGCTATGCTGCTGCAGAATTTGCCCTCTCCTATAGTTTGTAATGTAATGGGCAGCACAAATGTCTTAATACCTCAGGCTGTTGATGTTGCCATTCACTCTGCAGATCTCACTCACACACCCATACTGAACCCCAAATTATGATGAAAGTGAAGCGGGTTGAGGAGTCTAGAAAGAAAGTGAAGAGTGGGGCGGGACGGGGGTGAGTGTGAGAAGGGGGATCGATAAAATGAGGTGCCGGATCAGAATTTAGAGGTGCCAGATCCAGCTTGTTCCAGCACAAACTAAGTCCTGGTGTTCACGCATAGGTGGTGTCATTTAGTGACTGTGTGCAGCAAATAGGAAACTAAAAAAATGTGTCATATCTTGGTGTACCGAATTGTACTGTACTGCTCAGTGAAAATGAGGCTCTAGTGTTCTTAAACCTAAATCTGTTGCAAAACCCCTTTGGAAATAACTACACAGGGATTACATATTAGGTAAACTATTCAAATATATCTAAGTCAAGCATCATATACAGTAAAACTGAAGGCCTCTCATAAGTAATATATATATATATATATATATTAGGGTTGTAACAATATACCGGTATGACGGTTTACCACGATTTGAACGTGCACGATTATCATACCATGAACAATTGCATATCAACGGTTTTAACCCTTAAAGACCGAGACAGCCGCCCGCGGCTAAAAATAAGTATTGCTCTTAAATGTTTAATAACTTTTGATCCGCTGATCTGATTCATACAATTCAAAGATTGGCATAAAGAAGAGAATCTCAGCTTTCCAGTGCTGTATCACATAACATTCGCGGACTTTCAGAGGCTCCGGAATCAGTGCGGTTACATCATCAACATTTGACAATGCTGATTTGACAAAGAAACGCTCGTCACTGTGTCTCCGGACAAATCAGACACGATACATTGATGCATTGTCCCTCCTCCATGCCCAGATTGGTTCAAACTCGCTATATCACAACCAATAAGCATAGGTTTCGCTTTTGTTTGTGGACCAAGCTTTTTGAACAACACGGAATGAGAGATAGGCATACATTTATGCGCGGCTAAATAAAACGCAAAAAAAAAAAGTTTTGCATGAAATAATTCTCATACTAAGTACTTTTGCATGCACAGCAGCACAGAAACATGACAAAACAGTGACACAGCAAAGACGAACTGCTGCTCTTGCTGTATTCAAAAGACGCAAATGAAGGTGCAGCTGTTTGTCTGCATTGCAGACAACCATATCCAAATCCATATCGATAGACAACCATATCCATGCTGGCACATAAAACCTAAGGATGTTCCATATTGAATCTAGTTTCGTTATGTAACTATTTATAGTATAGTAAATATTTATATCTATTTTTTACTGAGGATTTGCACCATGTTTATTTGGACTTTGACACATTATTTATTATTTTCTTATTTTTATTTGTTCATTGTAAGTGGTGTTGTTTATAGTAACTAAAAATATATTATTTGGAAAAAGTCAAATTTGCTTCACTGTTCTATTATTTTGTAACATTTGTAACATACCGTATACCGCGAAACCGTCAAACCGTGGTATTGTTTTAGACTATTATCATACCGTGAAAAATTCATACCGTTACAACCCTAATATATATATATATATATATATATATATATATATATATATATAAATATATATATATAAATATATATATATATATATATATATATATATATATATATATATTTATATATATATGATCTGTAAGAAAAAATGGTTCACTGTATCCACTCAAAGTCCCTGAAAAATAACTAAAAATAGGTTTTGAATAGGTAAAGAAAAATAGGCAAGGAAAATGTAATCTCCCAAAACACAGGAGTAATGACTCACTTTGATGAGGTCACCGAGCAGCTTGTTGGCTTCGGTGTAGGATTTCTTCACCTCTTTAAACTTGTTGCCCAGCCCCATACTGTGTGCTTGAAAGTGGAGATTGGTGTACTGGCCACCTGGGATCTCGTTCTCATAGACATCAGCATTCCCAGACTTCATGGTGGCAGTGCAGTCAAACGGAGCATAAAGGCCCCGGGTCACTTCCCAATACTCACTGTAGTCAAAGACCTTCTCGAGAGAGATTCCTGAGAAACACAAACAATAAAAGGAGGAACAAAAGAGGAAAGAAAAGACAGATCATTAGCCACCAAGTGGAAGAAGCAATCTGAGAACAAGTAGCACAACAAATGACTATCTGACATTAATATTTAATCAAAAATAATGAAAGTCCTTGTCTCTTTAACAGACTGCACCGGCTAATCAGGCATTCTTCCAAGGCTTTTAATCAGTCCTCGAAAGCACGGCGCACAGGGGCCTGTATGTGGTAGAAGCGGGGAATCGGTGGCGGAGCATAGATTGCTTCCTGCCACTCACGGCTTCATCATTTACCAGCAGCAGTCAGTCAATTAATCAATCAATGAGGCGCGCCACTTGCAACAGAGTTTACATGCTCATTTGGCTCCCTCATCCTCACTAATTGCCCATGACTGCGATCACAATAGTTTTCCTGTGCAAAAGATAAAACACACACGCTAACATTTGTGTCTATGTACTTGTTGTACCAGAGAATGGCCGCAGGAAGTCACATTAATGCTCTTATGAAAGTTGCTTACATGCATTCTTCTGCCGCTGCTTGCTGCCACCCTGACTACAAGCTATTAGGGACTATTGATGTTACGGTGTAAATGTGCCGTGCCCAGCTCCCCCCATGCAGACTAATCTATCAGCACACGTCAGTCAGCCTGAGCATTGATCTTTGGCCACACGGCCTTTATCGTGATGAACTGGTTTGAAGAGAAGAGACGAAGAAGAGTGAGAGAGCCGAAGGGACCAGAGCAGGACAACAAGAGTTTGATTGAGTAAGTGTGAAAGGCAGATTCATAAATGACAAGGTGAGAGAGAAAGTTGAAGGAGAATCGGGAAGATGACAGGATGTTATATCTATCCATCTGTTTACCTATAAGTCTTGAGATTGTGTTAAGTAGACTGACAGACAGACCCGAAATCTCTCTCATATTTCTGTTCTCTGTGTTTTATAAGGGCCCTTTTTTCTCTCTTCAGAAAAATACAGTTCTCTGTTATTGAGCTTTATTGTGGGAAAACGATCATGTAGGATGGATGAATATGATGATGTAGGACGGATGAATATGATCATGTAGGACGGATGAAAGTGATCATGTAGGATGGATGAAAATTATCATGAAGAATAGAAAAAAAGGCCATAAATTCATGAAGACAAATGAAAATGGTGGATGGACAGATGAGTAGACAAATGAATAAGTTGTAGATAGAGGTATGGATCGGTGAAAAGTGGATGGATGCATGGACAGATGGAAGAAAAAGTGTGTATGTATGTAAGGACGTATGGAAGAAACGGTTGGAGGTATGGATAGATGAAAAAGTTGATGGATGTATGGATGGATGAGAAAAGTAGATGAATATATGAATGAATGGAAAAAGTGGATGGATGCACAGACGGATGAAAAAGTGGATGGATGGATGAAAGTGGACGGATGTATGGACAGATGAAAAAGTGGATGGATGTATGGACAGATGAAAGTGGATGAACTTATGGATAGATGAAAAATTGGATGGATGTATGGACGGATGAAAAAGTTAATGGATGTATGGATGGATAAAGTTGATGGATGTATGGATGGAAGTGCGGATGTATGTATGATGGATGGATAAAAAAGTGCATGTATGGACAGATGAAAAAGTGGATGGATGGACAGACGAAAACACTGATGGATGTATGGATGGAAAATGCAAATGGATTGATGATGGATGGATAAAAAAGCCCATGTATGGACAGATGAAAAAGTGGATGTATGGATGGATAAAGTGGATGGCTGTATGGATGGATAAAGTGGATGGATAGATGTATGGATGGACGACAACGTTGATGGATGCATGTATGGAAAATGTGAATGAATTGATGATGGATGAATAAAAAAGTGCATGTATGGACAGATGAAAGAGTGGATAGATGTATGGATGGATGAAAAAGTGGAATGATATATGGAGGGATGAAAAAGAGAGTGATGTATGGTTGGCTGAAAAAGTGGATAAATGTATAGATGGAGGGGGAAAAGTGGATGAATGTATAGATGAAAGAAAAATTGATGAATGTATGAATGGAGGGAAAAAGGATGGATGTATAGATTGATGAAAATAGTGGATGTAGGGATAGATGAAAGTGGATGGATGTATGGACATGTAAAAGTGGATGGACATATGGATAAATGGAAAAAGTGGATTGATGTATGGATGGATAAAAAAGTGGATGGATTAAAAAGTGCATGTATTGACTGATGAAAAAGTGGATGGATGGATGAAAAAATGGATGGATGGATTAAAAAGTGCATGTATCGGCGTACAAAAAAGTGGATGGATATATGGTAGGATCAAAAAGTGGATGTATGGACGGATAAAATAATGGATGGAAGGCTGACTGGATGAAAATGCGGATGGATGCATGTATGGATGGATAGATGAAAGTGCATGTAAGGACAGATGAAAGTTGATGGATGTAAGGTTGGATGAAAGTGGGTGGATGCATGGATGAATGAAAAATGTGGATTTATGATGGATGGATAAAAAAATGGATGGATGTATGGACAGATGAAAAAGTGGATGATGAATGAAAAAAATGGATGGATGGATGAATGGATAAAAAGTGTATTCTTCAATGGATGAAAAAGTTGATGGATGGATGGATGGATTGACAGATGAAAATGTGGATGGATGTATAGACGGATAAAAAGTGGATGGACATATGGACGGAGAGAAAAAGTGGATGTATAGTTTGATGGAAATAGTGGAAAATTTAATTGGATGGATGAAAAAAGTGGATGGATGGATGAATGAATGAATTTAGAAAAGGTGGATGGATGATAGCCGGTGATATAATTCATGTATTGCTAAATGATGGATGAATAAAAATTTCATGCATGATGGATGGATGACAAAACCAAAAGTAGGGAAGAAATGGGAACAGCACATGCATGGACAGACAGATTGTAATCTTGACTTTGGTTCAGATTTTTGGTTCAGTCTGAGATAGAGAGGAGGAGAAAACAAATGGAATGTTTGAGGAATATCAATACACTGCTGCCGTGCGAGAGCTGTAATAAGTATTGAGCATGTGTCAACACTGCCTCTTCCTCTTCACATCAACACATACGGCAGCTTGTTTTAAAAAGCTGTAAACAGGTGATTAATACTGGATGCTGCATATGGCAACAAAACTGTGAGTGGAAAGACAAAGATTACAATAACGCTGCCAAAGAACCCTGACACCCTCCAAACAATTCAATCATCCAGGCAACACCTCCTGGAGCGAAAACCAAAGAAATGCAGTGCACTGAGAATTAGGAGAATATCTTGTGAGAATAAAATGTACTGAATCAACAAAAACAAACAGCTCCACATCATGTGAGAGCTCCGACAAACCTCGAACTGACAAAAATCACACACCCACCCCATTTGAAAGGGATGAGGTTGTGCTGTGTCTGTTCAAAAATGGATGGACTTTTATAGAAATCACATCCAGGCTTTTCCGGTGTGCAAGAGCCACAGTCTCACATCGATGAGCTTTATTAAGGTGTTGTTTGGTGGCACAATTAGCAAGCCAGGGGTGTAAATTATATTAGCTTACACACCTTGTATATTAATAACAGTGCATCTGAAAGCTCTTGTAAAAGAGCTTGTTCATACAGTCCCAAGTGTTTACACAGTAGTTCTCTAATGTGATTGGAATGACAACATTTCAAGTAGTGCCTAACCAATTCTGATCATTTAGAAAGCAATCGGGACAGTGGAAAATATAAAGCTAGAATAGAGGTCCATTATTTATTATTTTAAAAGACTGTAATTCACTTCTGCTAACAAGATTTATTACTTGATTATTTTTTTTATTTTAATTGCAATTTTTTGAAAAAGTTATACACCAACTGTATAATTAAATGGGGATTTAAAGTTTGTTGACTGTGCTTACGTGTATCCAAAAGTGTTTAAATTATTTATTATTACTTAAAGAATAAGACAGAGAATATTGCTGGTGTAATTACATGTCAATATAAAAGATTAATTTTCAAGACTCAATAATCAGCATATTGGCTGATATTTCAATAATGTATGAAAAGTTCAGATGCAAAAGCCGCTAAACACCACTTCCGCCAAAAATGAGCTAATGGCATTGAGTGAATGCGTTAGGCACAGACTACATATTTAACAAATATTTTTGCTTCAAATCATCTAAATCTCAGCGTCAGCACATTCAGAAATAACAGTTTGTTGGCAAAAGCCGCTAAACGCCACTTGCCTTTAACAGCAAAAGCAGCTATTTCCCGTGAACCAATCAGAAGGCGCGAATCGAATCATATGTTTTCAATGTAGCAGCTCGCTGATACGCCGCCTTTTATGAGGAGACTGTTTTATTCCACCTCACAATTAGATTTTAAAAGACTAAATGAGTTTGATGAATTGCATGAGCCTGTCTGACTGTCACTGAATGGCAAATGAAAACATTCCTTACATCAAAACTCTGGGCATTATAAGAAAAAAAAACAATGTATGTAATTTAAGCTATTTTTTTTAAAGCTAAATATAATTTATAAAGCTAAACATTATTTGTATTACTTCATATTTCCTATACACTTGATAAGCTTTTTGTATAAATGGACAATGCACAGATATTGATGTTTCACAACGGTTTTACACATTATTTAAATGTAACAAGCTTGGTTTACAATATTTACAATATTTACATTGCTCTACTTTCATTAAATCTAAATCCCAAATCTCAGAAATGACAACAGATTGTTAAGACTTTATTAAAGTCAGTTTTAATGTTATTGATTAATTCACTTGATAGATTTCATTCATTCATTCATTCATTAATTCATTCATTTATCTTCTGCTCAGTCCCTGGTTTATCAGGGGTTAACACAGCGGAATGAACCGCCACTTACTTGACAGATGTATGCGTTTTAAGTGGTTTGTGTAATGTGTTTGTTTTATGTTTGTTAAAATAATTTATATTGCCATCTTTAGTGATTTTTCAGCTAATTACGCTGTCTTG